GTGAAGTCCGAGAGCGGCGCAGGTCCTGCAGCAGCCCTCCCAGACTCGATCGCGCTGTAACCCCCCCGCCCCCATCCTCCCGCCCCACTCCCACATGTGCAGATGTTCTCGTCCTGTTATAATGTCTTTGATTGTGCTTTGTGCTGAGAAGTTTTTTTTCTAAATCCCACACTGCGCTCCCCCTCCCCACGGGGCCTAGTTTGGAGTTGTCTTTTTTTTCCCTCCTCCTCCTTCCCTATCGTTTTTCAGTTGTTTTTCATCTAATATAAGGGTGCGCTGACCACGGGCTGCGTCCTGGCCTTCCTGTTCCTGTCCCCTATTGTCAATTATTTGTATTGTTTTTATTGTCTATTCATGTTTTTTCTTGGAACGGGTCGTACAAACCAAACTAAATTTCGTATCACCTTCCCTGGTGCATATGACAATAAAGAGATTCTGATTCTGATTCTGATTGTTTTGCCGCAGTATGTGGGAATGATGGAAAGAAACTTTCCTAATAAAATAATGGGAGATGGCGGCATAACCACAAAACGCAATAGGTTGAGGATATCGTAAAACAAGGACCTCCTGTATTTTATCAACTATACTTTGTATTCTATCAGTATTTTTCTATTTGTTCATTACACCCTTTTTACACAGTCCTGAATTGTCCGGTTTTGTGCACAAATTTCCAAAGAGAATCTTTGGGTTTAATGAACCTTGGGTTTAATGAACCTGATTGAGATAAAAATACAGTTGTCCCTCGCTATTTCGCGGTTCACCTTTCACAGATTCACAAGTTCGAGGGTTTTTGAAACTGTATATATAAAATATACTGTATCCTGGTTTTGGATCTGCAAGAGATGTCACAGGAATGGGACGACGATATGGTTCGATCGGTCCAATTTGGCAACAAAATCGATGACGTCATTACCGCCTACAAGCTACTCTTCGACTGGAAAAAGAAGCAGCGGAAGCAACTGCCGATCACAATGGTTTTGCAGCCTCGCAAAAAAGAGCCAGTTCCCGCTACTACTACGAATACACCTTCGGAAATCGTGGAAGAGGTGCCCCCAAGAAATGGCACCACCCTCTGAAGAGACGTAAAATCAATCATCGGCTGCGCAGTAACAGTCATCATCACCTTCCTCATCTTCAGTTTACTGCGCATAAATATGGTGTCACTACTTGGCGGAAATTCAGTTCTCGCGGCAGGCCTTGGAACTTATCTACCGCGATAAACGAGGGACCACTGTATACCGCTGCCTCAAGTAACTTAATTGAAAGTCAAGAGCACGGGTCATGAACATGAACATGAACATGGAGGGTATGTTCTAAAAGTAAAACTAGTCAACAAGAGGGTCAAATATTGTTCCGTTACTGTGGTTTTTGAATCAGTTACACTTGCAATGATATTCAAATGGGTGCAACGATGATGGTAAGAAGAGTGTCTACTATTGTATGTCCTAGAACTAATGATTATTACATTGTTCGGGAAGTCTGTATCAAACAAGTAGCTCATCGTATTGCCAAGTATCTTTGAAGTAGCTCTCTGTTTCAAAAAGGTTGGCGACCCCTGGTCAGGAGAGTGCTTGAAACTGCTCCTGAAAACACATGACCTTCATTGTTACACTGTTGGTCATTGTCAACTGTAAAAACTTTCTATCTTTATACCTTTGTTGTTACACTGTTGGTCATTATCAACTGTAAAAACTTTCTATCTTTATAACACCAAAGGCGTAAGGAGGAACACAAAAAGTTACCATGGCTTCAAGGAACAGAAGACAGACTCAGGAATTCAGGCAGTGACTAAAAATCACATAATTTCTCTTCTTCGTACCAGATGATGATCAGTCAGTGACTCCCTGTATTTACCAGGTTGCAAATTAAAATGTTTTATATGTTGACCAGAGGTTTTGATACTTAAAGTAAAAAAAAAAGTAGGACAAAGGTAGCAATTATCCAGAGACGAGGCTCCACTGGTTGTATGAAAAAGTGTGTTTTAATTAAAGTCAGTGAGAAAACGAGGTCACTCCTCAGTCTCTCGTCGGTATCTAGTCTCATGTGACAGTTTCAGGCCTTCATCAAAACCTGGTGCAAGTGCCTCGGATGTGCTTCCAGTCCGACGGGAGATTGGCTGCGAGTGACGCCTGTGCACTTTTGGTTGACAAAAGTCTGAGCGACTCCTTAAGATAAAATAGAGCATTGACGACTTCTGAGTTGTGCATGTCAACTAATCCCCCAATAAAGCCAAAGTCGAGTCGACAGGCACGTCCAGCACGACGGGCTCATGTGTGAATGCTGCTTCAGCAAAGAGCAACATTACGAAACATAACGAAAAAACGTACCATAAATGGTTTTCAACATCCCAAACGTTAGCATATTTTTGCTAACCTGTAACGGTGAGAATATTCCTAGCTAATATGTTTCAACTCAGCCCTTTGGGACATTATGTGCTACTGTGACGCTGAGGCAATATTCCTCACTTAATGGTCTCTGAAGGCAAGTATCAACTGCTACTGTTACACAGATTAATTAAAATCTCATCACGTTCTATTTAGTCAGCTCACCCTTCAACACAAAAGTCACATTTATTTTACTATGTAATCATTTGCAGATTGGATCCAATGAAATAGATTTCACTCTTCTACTATAATGCTAAAAAAGCCCCCTGCCAAAAAAGTTCAAATAAAAGCACAACTGCAACATTTACATTCGAAGTAGAGGATTAACACTTTTATCATACCTTCAGGCAGGTTTGTGAGCTGGTTCCTCCGTAGGTTCAAGTCCCTCAGACACTCCAGTTGACCGAGTTCTGGAGGCAAACACTGCAGCTCGTTGCAGCTCACATCCTGACATAGAAAAAAAAGAGAGAAAAAAAAAAATACACAGGGACAGAGCAGTGAGGAGGGAGCAATGATCTGAGAGGACTGACCTGGTTTACAACATTATATCAGTTATTTACTTAAGAATGAAACCAGTAACTAAGCAAACTAAAGTCTGTTTAATTACACTTACGCAGTTAATGTAATCAATTTATGTAAAGTTTAACCTTTTTAAGGCCAAACAAATACTTTTAATGGCTACTTTCTAAGCTAGGGATGTCAAACTCGATCACTCACGGGCTGAAATTGTAAAACCGAGTCAAAGCTGCGGACCAAACAGGATTAATTTATAGAGTTTAAAGAAATTTAAATACAACTTTTCAAATATAATGAATACAAAATGTAACTGAATAATAGAGTAGGTCAATAGGTTTGTTTGAACCGATCCAATAAACATTAGTAAGCGCTATGCTATGCTGTGCTATGCTATGCTATGCTATGCTATGCTATGCTATGCTATGCTATGCTATGCTATGCTATGCAATGCAATGCAATGCAATGCTATACTATGCCATGCTATTCTATCCTATACTATACCATAAGCATGTTAAGCTCTAGTGGGCCACATAAAATGACGTGACGGGCTTAGTTGGTCCCGCGGGCTTTGAGTTTGACACATGCTCTATTAGTTGGTCCTGCGGGCTTTGAGTTTGACACATGTTCTATGCTATCTGTATATTGAAAAACAAACTTTGTTCAATGTCTTTCAAATGTGTAAAAAAAAAAAAAAATTGGTGATACATGTTTTAATTAATTCAGTTATATATATGCAGCAAATCTCTGACTCTCTGACATTTCTGGGGAAAAAAAACTCCGGTGGAATGTGACTATTTTTTCCCCTCCATCACCATAGAAATGCACTGTTGCTGAGAGACACCGAGTTAGAGCGAAGAAAGACACTGTTGATGTGAGAAAGAGCACTGTGTGTGCGCATGTGTTGGTGAGTGTGTGTGTGTAGTACCAGCTGTCGGAGGTGTGTGAGGGAGTATATGGAGGCGGGCAGTGAAGACAGCTTGTTGTTGCTGACGATAAGCACTCGCAGGAGAGGGAGCTGGAACACGGAGGGCAGCAAACTGGACAGAAGATTACGACTGTGGAGGAAAATACGGGAAACACAAAAGTGAGCTCATTACTGATGCCAATGTTGGCATTTTTTTTTTTAAAGTCCCCAAGCACAGATCAGAAGAATAATTTGAGTATAAGTTCACAGGAAAAGCACAGCGGCGTCCTTAATTGCCTCTCTGAAGACTTTTAATGGGAGGTCAACGGTGACTTTTTATTTGTTACAACACTTTTTAAACCCGGTTTTTCAATAGCTAACACATTTCTGCATCGTTACCCTGACACGACTTCCATTTAAGGTTACCCAAATACTTCCCCTTTTAAGTAGATATGACTTTTTAGGAGACCGACAGTAAATATAATAAGCCACACAGGGAAAAGAGAAGGAACGCTGTGAAATGTGGAACACGGAATTCTTCTGCTGTAGTTAAAAATAGCTTAGCCAAAATAAAAAAAAATAAAAAAAACACTCAGCTCTATGACGGAGTAAAACATGTTCCTGGTGTTTCAGGGTTATTGGGTTTACCTGCAGTCACGATTACATTTATTTTTTAACATCATTCATATTTTTTATTTCAGTTCAAATTAATCACATTTCTCACAGACACACAATCTATTTCACATGTGTACGTCAGCGAGTAGCGAGTTTAAAGCTGTCACTCTGTACGACTTCAAAAGACTCGTGAAGATTTATTGGTTCATGTTCTACAAGCTAATTAGGTAGATAACCAACCAACCTTCACAACAATGTGCGGCACACCGAGCCTTCATTTCAGTTGTACATGAAAAGTCTACGGGCCTTCAGCCAACACTCTGCTGTGTCTGCATTACAAACCACCTATAGGGTTATAGTGGTCTCCTAGCAACAGAGGAATTACAGAGTGGAGCGTCACAGAGCACCGTGTCAGTGTGGAAGTAGCCAGGTTTGGGCAGGAATATATTTTTATTATCAAGTTCATATTCGATATCCGTCTGTTAATCATAACAGCAAAGATAAACCTTTGTGATGCATTCAGGTTTAGCGTCACAATTATTACGTGTCTATTTCCAAACTTGGTTTTACCTTGAAAAGAAAACTACCTAAAAACATGGATAAATACCACAGTTCTGAAATGTTAATTATTTATTATAATATATATTTGTGTGAATATATTATATTATATATTTCTTTTTACTCCAAAGCTACATAATTCGAATAATTTTAAAGTCCAAAACTTGAATACTAGATGTTATTTAAGTGAATTAAATACAGTAATACCTCGAGATACGAGCATCTCGACATACCAGTTCTCCAAGATACCTTTGAGCTAATTTTTGAGTAAAAATTTGAGATACGTGCACGCTTACAGACGCCGACGCTAGGTGGGTAGGCTCCGCGAGTCTTCTGTTTTGTGCTTGCTTTATCTTCGTGATTTTCTCTCTATTTTGTGCATTATTCTTCCTAATAGTGAGTCCTAAGAATAGATACGAAAAATACGTAAATTCAGTTAATTCTACGTTTATGTAAGTTACGTAGTGTACGTGTATGGTACGGTACAGAATCAAGTATCTCCGTACGGCCCACCTCTCTCCCCCCCCCCCTCCTCCTCCCCCGCAGATGCCTCCATTAGCCGCTACTGTATCGTCTGTCTCCAAGGTAAGAACTCATAATTAAAACCAGATTTTATTTGACATCACAGGAATCCTTATATACTATAATTTTATTTGTGTGTATGTCTCTATAGCAATTAAAACATGTTTTTCCCCATTGTTAGCACTATTAGCACTAATAAGGGAGTTCTGTTGGAGGGCCGGAACGGATTAATTTTTTTTCAATTATTTCTTGTGAGAAAAAATTATTTGAGTTACGAGGTCGGTCCTGGTACGGATTATGCTCGTATCTCAAGGTATTACTGTACTGCATTAACTGTATGTGTAAAAACTGCTGTCTGTATAGTGGCCATGTGATGATTCGAGGACAGCTCAGTCACTTTGCAATACCTCACATTATCATCACATTAGCATGGTTCGCTAACATGGATTGTAGTTTATTCTGTTAGCAGTCTCTGCCAACCATCCATAATACGAAACTATCCAGCACTTTAAACTATATGCGCTTGCTTGCTAACAGCAAAACAAGAAACCAGAAGTCTTGTAAAGATTAGCTTAAAAGGTTTTGACATGTTTCAATATTTAACTTTAAATCATATCTTTGAGATATATATAT